TGTGTGTGTGTGTGTGTGTGTGTGTGTGTGTGTGTGTGTGTGTGTGTATCCTGAGCAAGGAGCAAAGAGTGGCCCTGAGCATAGGGAATTAGACAGCGGATGTTATCAGGAGACAAAACACGGGGCTAGGCAGATAACCGTGCATGGTCAAATGTCGTAGAGGTTTCAGGCAAGGATGAGCATGCCTATCATTCTCAAGCCATGCTGGTAGTGTCTGACTGGAGCATCTTTGGAGATGAAATGACACGCTACATCCAGCGTTGTCTAGAATTCCAGACTCTTGGGACTATATGTGTCTAGGGAGTAGAGGAAAAATTGGGCTTAAGGCTTCAGGCTATTGAATTCTATGGAGAAGGTGAATTACTAAGGAAGTCAAAGAGAACTAGAAGGTTGGCACTGAGCTGGCCACTCCCAGGCAGCTGGGGATGTGAAGAGAAAGGAAGAGTCACAAGAGCTGAGGGAGAAACAGACAAGAACCATAATACATTCCAATGTATTTGCGTGTTTCCGCGTTGCCTTCTCTTTCTTACCCACCTTTGTCCTCAAGTTAGACGTGGTAGGTAGCCTGTAACTGCCTTGGATGAAGTATTCAGCCAGCCCTCCATATTACACATTCTGTCTATAGATTTGACTAACTCTAAATGCAAACTACTTCAGAAAAAAATTATCTTTTTCCTAAACATATGCAAGCTTTTTTCTCATCATCATTAACAGATATCGATTTATTATTATTTAATTACAAACAATAGAAAATTATTTACATATCATTTACATTGTATGCATTATTGTATGCACCCCAGAGGCAACTGAAGGCATACAAAGAGAACCTATGCATAGCCTGCCAGTTCCAGGACATCTTGAGCTTTTAGCTGTGCCACGAGGCTCTCCTGTCCCTTAGGTGCCACACGTGCTAACTTTCTCCAGAAGAACAGCCCCCTGAGCAGCACATATCAGAATCTGAGAGCTCAGAAGTAGGTGTCCTGAAGATTCCTTAAGGGTAAATGAAAGGAACCCAAGATCATCAGGGAGCTGCGGACGGCTCTAGACCACTTACTGTTGAAAGTTTCCTTGGGTTTGGCCATCTTGTTCTCTTGGAACACAGAGGCTCATAAATGCAGTTGTTAAATCTCCGCTAACACTCAGAAGTCATGGCTGTAACTGTGCTTTATGGTAGCTTCCATTTCAGAAGAAAAGAGCCTGTCCCTGCCAAGCATATTATAGACTTCTGCCACCAACTTTAGCAAAGGGAGAAAGCGTCCTGTTGGCAAGGTACTCTGGCTATTGCCCTTCAGGCCTCAGATTTGCTGCTGTTCTGACATGGATATCCCTGCAGGCCTGGCTTCTAAATGCAACAGGTGACAAAACTAACAACAGGCAGCATGGGCAGAACCTGGAGGCCTGTCCCAGCCTGAGGAAATGACTGTTCACCTAAGGGGCCATCTGACTTACATCTGTTCACCACTGATGTGCAAAGCTCCCTGCACTGCCACTGGGAGAAGCTATGGGGACCACGTGGGATGTTTATGTAGAGCGTCCAAAGCTGCTTAATCAGGGAACCCTAACTGAATTTCAAGGCAAGCGGCCAGTAATGAAGCCAGAGGGTTGTTATGACAGCATGGGAGTGGTTTAGAAATCACAGGAAGAAAGACCTAGAGTGGGGAGCACACGTGACAGAAATGAGGAAACCAAAAGGAAGCAGATCCACGTGAGACTGAAAGGCTGGGGTGAGGGGCCAGATCTGATGCTGGCTTGTGGCTGTGCCACCAACAGCCTGGTATATAGTAGCCGTGAGACTCAGAAGCGGCCTGCAGAACCTCAGAGAATATTTCAGCCATGGGAAATTGTCTGAGCTTGGATGCTCCATCTCTCAGACCTTGTCAGTTTCCACTTTACAGAGTAGGGTGTAACATGGTGTGACCACAGCCCCCCTCCGGCTACCTGAGTCACTATCCTGACATTTCTTCTGTGGTGAGGCAGAGGTGGATAGTCCCCACTTCTTGGAGATATGTAGATGATATTCTTGTGGGTACTTTAGGGTAGCAGGACTCCGTCATTCCATAATACATGTTTTTAAAAATATTTTTATAAATTCATAAGACTATAAAAACACATGCACCTGATCTGAATTCCAGTTGGGCATTTTTTTTCCTTCTTGTAAATTTAATAATAGTTAAAATGTGTTAGAACCCCCAGGCACCATTATGCCTTTTAGAGAAATCAGTCCTGCAGGGAATCAGCTTAAAAACATTAATAAATCTTAAATTAATTTCTTTGGTTTTCTAGAAAATTGGATGTGATGGCATCATCGGGTCTGCAGCTAAAGAAGACAGGTGTGGTGTCTGTAGTGGGGATGGCAAGACCTGCCGTGTGGTGAAGGGTGACTTCAGCCACTCCCGGGGGACAGGTGAGCACTGGGCCTAAAGACTGTGATAGTTACAGGACCATTGACACAGACTGTATATTTCATCTTCTGTGCCACAGTGCTAATGGTGGCATGGCTTCTTGTATGTCACCTCTCAGATGCAAATAGAAAACCACCTCCCACAGGTTGACATTTGACCTCTATGTATATACTGTGGTGCATGCACACATATGTGTGTTGAAGGGGTTTTTCTTTAACCCATGTTTTTCACCTATGCCCTTATTCCCAGAAATAAAGACTTTGAGACTTAAATATATTTACAAAAGCCTAGGCATATAGCTAGGTATATTCCCTGTCTTGCTCATAAGTAATATCTCATTCATTCTATTCTGAGTTCTGCTACTTGGCTGGTTACCTCTGCTCAGGTTTCATGTATTTGTCCTCATCAGTGTCCCAGAGCAAATTCCCTTCACTCTATCCCAGCATTCCTCTTCTCTACGGGAACTCCTTCCTTTTAATTCCTGCCTCAGCTATAGACCAATCAGCTGTTTATTGACAGGTGAAGCATCCATACGGTACACAACAAATTATACCTACACATGTGTATACATCACAAGTACACATCACACACAAAATAAACAAATGTTTTTTAAATAAAGTTGATGTTTAGAATTTACACCCATGTAGATTCTCCAGAATCTATTGCTTCATCATATTGCTCTGGAGAGAACTGGAAGAAGGTACCACTGGAGTGAGTTCATTTTGGGGGACTGTGCCCTCTGGAACTGAACTGTCCAGTGCAAAATGAACTGGCCACTCAAGCCTACCTAAATGTAACTCATAATTGGCTGAAATTAAACTAACCTAAATATTATGGCCCCATTTCAGACTCCCCATTGCCAGGCAGGCTGGTGGGTCCTGGGTCAGACAGAGAACATCCTTGTTATCACAGACGTTTTCCTTGGACATCACAGCTCTAAAACTTAATCTGATTTCTGCTGTTTGCTTTGGAGTATATGATATCATTTCATCTCCGGGCACCCTGGATTTGCCTTATGTAGTTATTGCAGTTGGGAATAAAACTACCTCAGTTGTCAAAGGTCTACTATTTAGTTTATTTCTTTTGATAAATATAAACATTAGAAACCTTATTTAGGATAATCAAGATTGATAAGCAGGTAAAGGCATTTGCTGCTAAACTTGATGACATGAGGAGGTCAAAGGACAACTTTTAGAAATCATTTCTATCCTTCCACCATGTGGGATTGACCTCATGTCATTCTGCATGAGGGTTTGAGCACGGTCACAGCTGTCACTTGGTGAGTTCCATAGTACAAGGCTTTCCCTCAACCTTTGAAATCCTCTACCAGATCGGATCACTTGTCAGACAATGTAGTTAGGACAAAAACATTGATTTGGCCTAGGAATATGCTTCACCCTTCCCCAGCAATACCCTTTTTCTCACCCGCCTTCCTCTATCTACCCAGCCAGTGTTGGGCTCCATCTGTGTGTTCCCCTGCAGAGGATGGACTTCTTTGGCTGTAAAAGTCAGTCTCCCATGGAGGTAAAATTCAAAAGGTGCTCCCTTGTAACTGTCTCACCAGGATTTTTTAGCTTAATATGCTTACTTCTAGCTGCTAGGTTACAGAACCTGTAACAACACTTCAGAGGAAGGAAAACAAACATTAGTTTCATCTACCTGTGAGCCTGTCACTTCTGAGCACTTCCAAATGCCATATACTAATATTAAAGCACAAGGTAGGAGTTTTCTTTTGAATTTTAAATCTCCACCATTGGAGTCCGTGAGCATAAGATCACGTCAGTATGGGCTTTGTTTATTGAAAATCTGTGTGCAATGTTCTTTCACATGTGGGTAATTATTGGCTGCTTAGGATTTGATATACTAGACTGCACAAACACAGAGTACTGACACTGAGTCAACTGCACACCCCTCCCAAACACACACAGGGAACATTTATTTGGCATGTATACATTTCAATATCAGATATACAGACATCAATGTTTGCAGTCACCACATTGGTCACAGTCAAGGTGAGGCACATTGCCAGGGCCTGCATATAGATCAGCTATAAAAAGTGACTTAAAAAGTAAATGGCAGCCAGGGTAGAGAAAAGACACTCTGGCTGGAGGTGAATCTGTAAATTTGAATGAGACTCGGCAAGGAAATCCTATGGCAGTCCCAAGTCATTTGGCACCTCGGTGACCCCAATCAAGTGGATTTGCTAATCTTGTTGGTATAGATAGGAAGGCAGCTTTCATCAGTGCCCAGCTCCAAGGAATGAAAATGGGAGGAATGTCTTATCATCCTTCAGGGTGAGTATCAAAGAAAAATGCCATACAAAGAGATAAACCAACATCAAATGCAGGAACACTGCCAGGTCCTGCATAAATGCCTGACCCCAGCCTGAACTCTCCCAGGTCTGCTTACAAAAGCCCCTGAGCTGAGAAGCCAGGGCAGATGCATCAGTGCCCTAGATAAGCAAGAAATCTATGATGGAAGACCACAAACCCTTGCCTTGGGAACTGGCTTTTTCAGTGTAGAATGTTTGCTGCCCCCAACCCACCCCCTCTCAGTCTTGAACAGACAAGGCTTTTATCTACTCCTAGGTAGGAAGAATCAACTCAAACCAGCTTTCTAATGGATTGGCCTCAAAATTCTCGTGCCTTCAACAGGACTGAAATGGCTAGGCTATTTGAATTTAGTAGGTTGAAAATTTCTGCTGTGAGGTGCTGCATTCATGCATTAACTTGTCACTGAAATATTGTCATCTTTATTCCATCCTGCTCTGTGGAACTGGAAAGGTGTCTGTTTACCATGGACATCCAGGATGCAACTAGACCAAAGTTCCCATTGAGGCCAGGATGCCTGACAGGCTCTGACCCCCTTTGCACTTTGTTCTTGAAGAGATAGTAGATTCAGCTGAAGTGATCTTCCATTTTTTGAATATAGATAGATTCACATCATGGTGAATCTTCAGTAATTAGCCTTGAAGCCACCACCACATCCTGAGTTCTGTGTTCCATGTCTAGGTGTGGGGAATGGCATTCCCATGGGGCTAGTTTGTGGTTATATGATGATTGTAAACCATAGTTCCACGATGATTGAGGGGAACAAGACCAGTTGCTAAAATGGGCACAAACCAACTGCAATCTTTTTCTTCTTCTCAGTCAAGAACAATCTTTGTATGAAGGTGTCTACGTGTGTGATGTCAAACGCGATTCCCAAGTGTTTCTCATGTAAGATACCTGGCTATACGGCATGGTCCTAAAGGTGACATGCTTGGTGTGGGGATCTTGCTTACATGCCTGAGTGTTTTCTGATTAGAATTAGTGAGAATGAGTCATGAATGAAGCCATGGGTAAAACAAAGGCCAGGGACTACTTATATAGGACACCTACAGACCAATTGGCAGCAGTGAAAAACTAAACTAAAACCAAGATTAAAAACAAAAGAACCATGAATTGAGAGGCTAGACAAAAACATTGCCTAGGGTGCTGTGGTTGGCTTTGTAGTCTTATCAACCATATCTCATTCCTTAGCAATTATTTCAAAGACGGGGGAGCCAGTCTTGATCTGTGCCTCCCTCATAAGGACGTTTCCATATCTCCTTATCACCAGATTGGATTTTCCTGTTGGCAGAGGGATCTTGGTGCTTTCCTGGTGGAGATGAAAGCAGTAGCCTTGATCTGACCTGGTTGGACTGGCCACACATTCCAAGGGTCAACTAAAGCATGGATTAGACTTACAGGCTTCTTGAGTGCAATGAGATCTTTTCAGCTATAATAAAGAACCACCTTTACCAAGAAACATAGTAACACGGATGGTCCCCAAGTCGGAATATTTCACAGTACAGTTTTCCCCCTGATGATACTGAGGAAGCCATCCCCTTTCAGCAGGAACTGGACTTTGAACTTTGAATCTTATTCTGTGCCCGGGGTCGCAGCTTGTACCATCCTCCTCTCCTGCAATGCTGTGGTAGCCAGTCACTGTTCCCACAAGAACACAGTGTGAGTGAGCTGCGCCACAGTATGCTGAGCTGTGATCATCAGAAGATTAGGTGTGGTGCATGCACCTTGGACTTAACCATATTCTCAACTTAGAATGGGTATTTCAGGATGTGACTCCATTATATATTGAAAAGAGTCTGAATTCTCATAAACAACTTTTGTAAACAGAGAAAAGCAGAAACTTGGCAAAATCCTTTCTGAATATCTTGGGATTTATTTAATAATTTTTCCCATACATTAGATACTACGTAGAAAAGAATCCCAGTATACGATCAGATTCTAACATCTCAGTGATGGTTTTCCCAAAATAGTCAATGCTGCTTAACCACAAAACTATAAATAAACCCAAATCTTCTAGAAGGAAAACCACTTGGAAAATTCAGGTAAACATAATTGCACAAGAACAACACCCATAGCCTTGTAATATTAACTGGCAAGTAAAGATGGACTTAAGGTCTCCATTCCTAAGTCTGTCACTTGGGGCAAGAATGGTGTGTGTCCTAGAACAATGGCAAAAGCTGGGTTTCTCCCGTGGCTTCTTCATGACACTACAATGTTTCCCTTTAACCAATCCCTCTTGCTTGGTGAATGAAACTATAATGGGAAATTACTCAAAGGTAAAAACTTACTCCTTGGCCTAAAATGTGAATTTATCTTCTGCATTTTCAGAGTGATTCTTTCCTTTTGTTGCATTCTATGTGCTATCTGTGACTAAGTCATGACACATCTGGCCTGAGGGACAAGACGCTTTGGGACTTGGTTAAGGAACTCTCTCCCTTCCTGGTCACTCTTCCTACCAGCTAGAGTAGGTTTTTGAGCTCTGGGTCAGAACTGGCTAGAGAAGAGTGAGAGGCAGAAGCCTTCCTTTCCTTCAGGGTCTTTGTCTTTCATTGGTTATTTCTGTATTGAAAAGAGAGAAACTAAATGGACATAGTGGCATAGACCCTTAATCCTAGCACTCAGGAGCCAGAGGCAGGTGGATCTCTAATCTCTGTGAGTTCAAAGTCAGCCTT